TCACTGTCAAATAATATAAGCTGATAAAAAACACAACAAACATGAAACTTTCCATAAGGAAAATTAAACGTTTTCTACCATCAAATTGTAATAGCAACATAATTACAAAGTAAATATTCCATGTAGACTTAGTCCCTATCTACATCTTAAAATAACAACAATATCTAATTCAGAACCCTCAATCTACGAGCCCGCAAATTGGAATATCTGTCACAAACATTTTCAATTATGGCGGGGATCGGAATTGTGTCCGATAAATGCCAATACTCCCGTCACGTGGGAGCTAGGCTGTCGCCGACACACTGTTGGAGCTTTTAATGTAAAGAATTAAGAAATTAAAAGACATTCTTTTGAAAAAAGAGAAACTGTCTGATTTTATATAGCTACCTATATACAATAAGGTATAAATTACGATCGTTGTACTGTTTTTGTGGATTGCTTCCAAGAGCTGCAGAGGTTTTCTTTTTATGGACGAGGCAAACGAGCAGACGGATCACCTGATGGTAAGCGATCAGCGCCGCCTATGGACACCCGCAACACCAGAGGAGCCACAGGTGCGTTGCCGGCATTTTAAAAAGGAATACGTTCTTTTCTTGAAGGTTTAAAGGTCGTATCGGTTCGGAAATATCGTTCGGAAAAAATAAAAACCAACTTAGCTCAAAACGAGATTTCAACTCAAAAATTTATAATTAGCACTCAAAATAACAAAAGAAAACTTGACACAAAAAGCATATATACGATCGAATTGAGAACCTCCTCCTTTTTTTGAAGTCGTTTAAAAACCGAGTAATTAGGTGCCAAATTATTTACAAAATCACACTACCTACAAACACCTACCAAAACGACAATGCGTCAATCAATTTGAATGTTAAATGAAACGCTCATATAAAATTAAAGAGCAATTTAAAACAAAATGAGTTCGCTTTCCAATCTAGTGCGGTCAACGATAATTAAAGCTTACAGAACTACGTTTTATAGCAAAACGCATAACTTACTTTAAGTACTTGCAGAGTAACATTTATGTGGGGCTTTATAACTTGAACTAATTCCACCTAAGTGTTACTTAATGTTCACTATTATGTAAGGTACCATATAGAGAGTACCTAGAAGACTATTACAAGTGTAAGTGGAAATAAATAATGTAGATCCTCGAGCAGGTTCGTTACTCATCGAGGTTGATATGCTAACATTTCAACACCTGTGTTTTAAGGGGTGCTCCAATACAAACTTAATTTTTTTTTATGGCATTAGCTGGCAAACGAGCAGACGGATCACCTGATGGTAAGCAATCGGCGTCACGCATGGACACCTGGAACACTAGAGTCGTTACAGGTGCGTTGCCGGCCTTTTGGGGATTAGGAGTTTGAGGATGGTTGGAGATTCGGGGATTGGGGAAGGGGGCTCCGGCAACCTCACTCACACGACGAAACACAACGCAAGCGTTGTTTCACGTCGGTTTTCTGTGAGGCCGTGGTGTCACTCCGGTCGAGCCGGCCCATTCGTACCGAAGCATGGCTCTCCTACACTTAAATGTTCAATTCATGCTAAGATATGTATCTATTAATTTGTCTTAGCAAAAAATTCCAATCTTCAAGAAACACCCTCCAATTTCCCTTTACTATTTATACGTCATATCTCTCCAAGAACTAAGATCTTAACAATAACCAACTTCAATTCTAAGCTAACAAAATGAATCAGAATACTTTATTTTTAACTATAACTTCATAAAATTTCATACTGATTGAATAATTATTCAATCAGGTATGTATTCAAACCAAAAATTCAAATTTAAAATAAATTGTTTCAACTTTACAATGCAATAAATAATTAAAAAATAATCATACTCTCATCCATTGATTTGACAATGCTAATTTTAAGGAAATGACTATGCTATTTGACGCAGAAATATGATGACGTCATAAGTTGCGATCCAATACAAAATTCATAGACAAGTATCGTTTTTGAAATTTCAATAAAAGTATTGAATTTGACTACCTGTCAACTACTGTAGTTATTAAATACTTTATCGAAGAGACGATATACGTATATAGAGTAGCTGTGTATGTATGTACTCTCTATGGCAGGTATTGCCTTTGTTGTTGCAAGTAATTAAAAGCTTCATTCATGTCCATCGGATGGGAATCATGGAGTCCGTCCGTCTAATGATTAGCGGTTGATTTCTATAGAAAACCAAGAGTAGCTCTCATCATTGCAATTACTCTGATGTTCAGGTAACTGAGAGATAACAACTTTGTATTTTTTTTCGCATAAAGCTATAGATAATGGTATATATTGTTTTATGTACATACAAAATATAATTAGGTAGATATTGCATGTACCTATTGTTTAATTAGGTATATCGATTCAAAGTGTCAAACAACTTAAAAAATTAAGATTGAATTTAGAAGTTCTTTATTTCGACATTTGATTTGGGTGTGTCGACACTAGGTATCATAAACGAAACAATTTTGAATTTCGAACGATTTGATTCTGAATCTGCACAAAGCTACAGCAATAGACTTACAATAGAAATTATTTAAAATGTATGTATCTACCTGATATTAAAGTTCAAAATTATTAATTTCGGATAATAATATGACGTACATTCCACATAAACTATGTTAAAAATATGCGTCAATGCAGCTCAGATATTGTGAAATATAGTAGGTCTAAATTGTAATACCTACAATTCTGTCTACCAACACTGGACAGAAAAGTTGTACCTAAGCTTACAATTTAGGTCAAAATCAGTACTCAAGTTTCAACCTATACAATTCAGGCTTTGTTCGATAATTATATTCCTCGGAGAATACCTATCTCAACGCCTAGTACCTACTAATAAGTACTAAGCACACATTTGAATAGATTCGCATTAAATTATCCACAGATACAAAATACCTAGCTACACAAACTTGGAACAATATAGACTTAATATTGACGAAAGAGATTCTATACCTACCTCAAATTTAAACCCAGACTAAGCTACATGTTTATAAGATTTCTATTCATCTAAAAATAAATCGTAATACCTGGAATTATGGTTTATTTTTATGTATAAGTCGTTCCAATAAAACACAAAGAGATATAAAGAAAACGTCACGTAGAAAGACCACTTATCTTCGATTACAACCCAACCCACCTATCTTATATTGAGAAGTTTCGTGACCCGACAATAGAAATAGGCACCAAGTTCATACTTATATGGAAATACTCCCACCTAAACATCCATAAATCTAAAATATTATACTCTGTGAACACACGCCCCCTCAAATTGTTTTTTTTTATAAATAATAATTTTATCTGTGCTCAACGTTTGGATACGTTGTTAAAATGTAACATCAAAGCAGCTATTGGCATTGGAAGCAAAATTCATTCTTCAAACTTAAAAAAGAAAAAGGTATTCTTTTGGAAAATCAAACAGAGATATTATGTTTATTTGTTACCATGGCAACATTTACTTAACTACCCCCGGCTATAATAGGGTCAGAGGAAACCAGAGAACAAAAACAAAGGAAAATCATAAGTAAGTAGTGATTTCGTACAAAGGACCGTCAAAGCCCAGATTTTTGTTTTTGTATTGACACAAAGCCACATAATACATAGAAGCATCATTCAAAGCTGTAACGAGACAGAAAAAATATTATAGAACATTTCGCTCTAGAGAATAGAGATTGAAAACCACTTGATACGCAGGTAATTAGTTTCATGGTACAAATGGCTAATCTATTTCCTTACACCAGCCATAGATCTACCTCTAAAGAGGAAAATCCAACCCATTGTCTTTTGTAAAAGAACTCATTATCAAAAACATTATATTTCTCGATTACTTTTAATCATTGTTTCGTTAAAAAATCATTAGCGCACAGATTATTGCGAAGCGTACTTCCATCTATTGTTGACCTCGTTTTATCCCCCTTGGAGTTTTACTGGCTAATTTAAAAATGGAAAACTCTTTCGTGTCTCACCGAGTCCCGTTAACTTCAGACTACGAGACTTGTGCTCAGCGACGTGACAATAATTGAGGCTATTTCTTTTTCTTTAAACTATCTCCAACACTTCGACATTGACACCTCTAAAACACAATTTTATGGTATCTATGTATATAAAATTTCCCTTTACAAAAATTATAACCATTTATTTTCCTCAAAGCTTTTCCAAATAAACATTAATTACGAAGCGACATGAAATTACAAACTGTCGTAAGTAACAGGTCACAACAAGTATTAAAAAGCAATCAGCCGCAGATTGTGTAAAGCGCTTCCAAGTACTCAAATAATTATGAATTTATCGAACAAATCGACCGCAATTAGAGATAACAAAGTCGATCGTAAGTTTATGTATGATGAATTGAACCCGCCATTGCGTCAAAAACAAAACTAATTTATTTTACAACTGAATTTATTTTCATCGAAAAGTTAGAAACGACTTGTTTTTGTTCGCTTTCATTGTTCTGTAGCACTTTAAAACTTTTAAATTAAATTATCAAATTGAGGCTGTAGATAAAGAAAAAATATTTACGAGGAAAATATTTGTTGTTCCGTATTTAAGTGTCAGATTGTTTTTTTCCCGCCCATTAACTCGCATGACATGAAATTACGCGGGAAACTGAAACTCCCACCCTATTCAGTAGACAGTCATTATATTACCAGACAACATTTTGTTTTCGAGCACAAAGCGCACGTAGGTATCAAATAGCCCATTATTTTACAGGTGTTCGGAGCGTATGCTGACCTATAAATTATAATTTCACCTAGCGAAAATCTACAAGTTTCAAGGAGCGAATCGATCCAGGTAAGTTGAAAGTACGAGAGCAAATAAATCTATCGGTATAGACTACATCCAGATTTTGAGAGAAGTTCAGCAGTTTTAGATAAGGAGAAGAGACGGTTCAGTCCCGCCAAATTAGTCGAGTGTAGATTAAGAAAGATCAGAAGGTGCATGTAAGGTAAACATTGTAGTGCAGTGCGCAACAGGGTGGCGCGTCATGCATGCGAGCGTACCTGAGGCGGGCGCCGGGTGCGGGGAGGACCGAGGCACCCTAGACTCGGCGAGCCAAGCCAGCGCGCCGCTCCACGCGGACTAACGCAACCGCGCGCCGTCACCATACCGCCTCGACGTATAAGGGGTTGCCACCTCTTCCAAATTACCCCGACATTAAAATATCTAAATATTATTCAAAAGTGAAATATTTTCCTTGGGATAAATCGTGGAAAACATGCTTTAAATAATATATTTTACCTCTGACCACATTTTGATGATTTTTGTAGTCGTCTTTTTTTAACAAATACGTTATTTACAATAGTGAAACTTATATAAAATATTAAATTAACAGAAAATAAAACAAACTGTACTGATGAAATTGTAGACAGAACTTTTCTTTAATTGTGGGAGACAGATAGAGGCAATGAACTGGCAACATTACGGCCGCCCGCACCCCTCCGACCCGGGTTGGGCGCCGAATAATGAAGCAAGGGGAAAAGAGATTGTGGAGCGGGAAAATGCCGGAAGATACCGGCCCGTGCCGGATGGATGGGCCACGCTGCCGGATCCGACGCCCTGCCTTGCACCCTTTCACAACTTCCCAAACACAGCCATGTGCAAACGATGTGAACAATGGACAAAGAGAAAAAGACATTCACGCAATTTCATTGAAGCGAGACAAAATTTCATGTTTTATTGCATTTCTTTATGAAGATCGGGAAGGATCCTTACCTCCCTAGTCCTCAAGCCGCTCATAGTTTGTTTTACGGCTCCATGTCATTAGCATAAATGTTAGCCAGCTTTTTTATTTTTTTTCTCAGAGAACTCTCGTCGACTTGAGACCGTTATTTCAGCATAAGTAATGCACGATCGTAACATATTCGAATATTTTAGACGACCGTTTACGAGATGTTATTGGGAAATATTCAGAAATCTATTTTCACAGATCCATGCGCTCTGGGAGCCGCAAGCCAATTTTAAGTTCTATCATCGGCAAACATAGTATCAATACGCAATCCAAATAGTTAACGAATTCTCTACGGTTTACCAACAGATTTTTGGGAGTTTAGCGCAGTTTTACGAGCCAAACAAACAGTAGAAGCACGCTTGAAAAAGGTCGGATAGATTTTTATCCGATTCATTGCCCTGGTAAGTTGAACTTAAACTTTCTATTCTATTGCTAACAAACTCTACTAAAGTACTACAAACTAGTACCTACCTTACCACTAAACAAACGAAGCCGGCTCGTCTCCCATTTCCATATATTTTCAAGACAGTCATAATAATAAATGTAGATGAAATTATGCAATAACTTTTGAAAACTTGAAGATATTCAGTGTGAAACTTTTCAAATTTTCATTGTGGCTGTTGTGTGTGCCGCCGAAGAGGGCGCTCCACGGCGCCCACTCTGTTGGAGCAGGGCTACAATCCGAAATGAAAATACCAACTTTTATTATGTAGCTATAACAAGTAGTTACAAGTAGGAAAGAGGGAGGAACTCTCATAATCTTATGACATGTATTTTTACATCTTTTCCTTACTTCCCCTTTGTTTTCCCTGAGGAAACGATAAATTACTTTGTCAAAAGTTGTCAAAACAAGCCCTTTAGTTTAAGTTATCTCACATACGCATAATGGGAGTTGTGACTTACGCTACGTTACTCGTTACTTCATTTACAAATGTAAACGTTCTCCGAACGGTTATAATTAGACAACTATTGGTGTTGGTACGTCAGCCCCTTAATTAAATGTTAGTCTACGGAGCTGATTTAATTTTGCTAATTACAAATTCTGCAAGCAGAGGATGGTCCGTAAAACGACGCTCCCGTTTAACAGATAATAAAATTGTAAAGCATAGACTGCGTGCTGTTTTTTTTTTCTTTTTGCAAGTTTAATGAGAAGTTAATTGAGAAGATATAACTTTTTACGGCTGTAATCAAATGAAATTAGAATTTCGTTGATGTGGAGTTATGGTATTAATTTTGCTTTGTGTGTTTATTTATTACAAAAAACCAGAAATTGTAATCTAGATATATGAAAATTAAACCTGTTCCCGTTGTTACGCCATAACTTGGGAATTGATTTGACTGATTTTTTTTGTTGTGTTTGTTATTGTCAGGAGAAGGTTCTTATGACAGAGAAATATCCTGAAAATCCTACGGGAATGGGAGAAAACGGGATTGCGCGTACGAAGTCGCAGGCAGAAGCTAGTGTATAATATGATCACAGTTTGCATTAAAGATAATTCTAATTCCGAAGACTTTGATTTGTTGGATAATGAAAATTAGAATTTAGGTTGAAGTACGCAGTATTGCTTCATTAACTACCTACTAAATAAACTAAGTCCCAAGCGTAATAAATACACACTTAAATAATCCGATCCATTTAAGTGATTAAATAATAAACCTAAGAGATTCATACATCACTTAATATTATAACCCGGATGAGTGAGCTAATTGATACAAATTCAATCTTTTTATAATATCGTGGAGTTGAACACAAATGAAGCGTAGCTTTCAGAGCTATTCTTATAATGGGAGGAAATAGGCATTTGTCGTGCTCCGGGACTGCGGCTCTTAGACTGTGAGATGGATGCGCTAATCTGCCTCCCGGTCTCTCCGCTAGTTGGGCGCGGAAGCTGACTGCCGCTTTGTGGAAAATAGTGATGTGAAGGCTGTTACAGTGTAACAGCAGTTTTGTATATTATGTTATACATTTTAATACCAAAAGAGGTAAGTAGAATATTAAATCTATTACCCACTAATTTACCATAGCTAATGTGAAAGTTTGTAGGTAGGATCGTAGGTAAGTAAAACCGTGTTAAAAAATATAATCGAAATATTAAAACATTTTGGATTAAATAATTATTTATTTAGGACATGTCTATGTAGGATACAATTACAATACAGACGTCGCGTCCTATTTTACCAGTGAAAAACAGAGTTAAAAAAGAGACCTATTTACAATGAACACAAATCCCTATTACAAATACTTGATTAATATAAACTTTTGCGACTGTCTAACTTAAGTGTATATGTACTTACATACAGTGAATATATGTAGGTACTGTAAAATACGATTGAAGAGAATCTATGCTTGCTTTTAGTGAAGCAGATAAAGCTCCGGGCGTGATGCATTCTGTCCTCTCAGTGTCCTCAAAAAGAGAGGAAAAAATAGTATTTTTGTCCTCACATGGAGGCTTTCAAACGGGCAGCGCACGGAGTGTTTTGATATCGTAAATCTATTCCAGTGTGGGTAGGTTACCTAGGTTTTTTGCTTCGAATGTGAGTGGATCAAAGTGAGCCTAGGCTAGGGTTGCCAACCATACTCTAAAATAGAGTATTGTCCTCTATATCATGTAGGCGTAGGCAAAACCGAGGGGAACTTTTCAAAATTGTTGGGGCGGCGAGAGCATTTATTAATTTTTTGATATAGTACTTAAAACTACTACAATTTGATGAAGGTAAGGAGTTGATCTGATGATGAAGTCAAAAGGCAGCCAAGGGAACTCTCGAGTATTTGTAGGAATGCCCCGTGTTTGGGCTTAAATTATTTGTATTGAGAAAATCTTTACATCTAGATAGGATATGATATCAATGGCTGACAGTAGCTATTTCGTGTTTCGGCTTTATTAATTTGTTTTGATGACAACTTTACACCGAAATGGGGTGTGATTGTTATTAAGAGCTTGATGATGAAGTAGTACGATAGCTAAGGGAACTCGTAATAGCTACTACTAATCGTTTACCTAGTATTTGAGTTTGAATAATTTATAACGATAAGAACTTTACACCAATGTGGGATGTACGGAGTATACTAGGTTTATTAAACTAAAAAGCAAAAAACTAAAACTGCGTTTAAAAAAACCGACTTCAAAAATCAAAACCTAAAAACAAGCAAAATGTCAAAGCTATAAAGCAAAAAATAACTATTAATAGTCATACGTACTTATAAGTTACTCACCCACTGATAGGTGAGAAGTCGATGCCACAAGTTTTAAACATAAGTTATTCTTTAAACTGTCAAACACCAAGCGGTCACCGGTGACCGCAACCTATTGTTCTATAATTGTGTCTACAAAACCGGTACTCGACGAGTTAAACCTGTAACAAATACCTTATTTTACGTAAGCTGTGTACAATGTTGAACTTCCAAAAACAGAAAGCTAAAATATATTTTATAAATGTAGCGACGCAATCTTTTCAAGTGCATCAATAAGGCACATTTCTCGATTCATATTTCCCACTTAACCCTTCGCCTACAGCTTGGGGTATAATTGGTTCCTCCGCACTTTACCCGTTCCATTTATCGCGGCATTCGGCGCTTAATTATAGGAAAACGTCCGGAATTGCCAACAACAACATAAACGTCAAATATCATGTTATATGACGTCTTGACTGACAGTCGAGGGTTGACGAAAGTAAGTACACGGCTTAACATAGCTTCAGTTTACTACAAGTCATAAAACAGAGGGCCTAGGTGGCTTTATTTATTAATTAAATCAAGACATTTAATATATAACATAATAATATAGACATACAGTGTTTGTATTTAATAGGTACAGCAGCGGCGCGACAGTCGCTGCGTCGCGGGTCGCAGAATGCTGCTCATGAATATGGGCTTCTAGCATGGCTTGAAACTAGTCGAGTTCCTCGTCAAACGGTTACGTGGGTAAGCCGAAAACATAATAATTATACACAGAAGTTTTATCTTGGATGTCTTCTATGTAAACAGCAGCTGTAGCCAAATGTCATTTAGCGCTTGTCTACATGTAGAATAGAAAATCAAATTATATGGGATTGACGTAAATTTTGACACTTGTCAGTGTCATCCCCATACATTCTGATTTCTAATCTCTCTGTAGACAAGCGCTAAAGTGGCGTTTGGCTAAAGGACCATAAGTGTAAAAATCACATATACCTACTAACTATACTTTTCTCTGGGTATCTTTTCTTTCTTTATCACTCGTATTTTGTTTTCCTTTATTTCAACATTGACTAATCCAATACAAATTAATTCACTGAATTTTGGTTACCATAAGTTTCACCTAATTTAGCTGAACCTAAAACTTCTTGTTCTTCGAAACAAAC